CGGACGGAGCGGCCTCCTCCCCAGCCAGCACCGTCCTGCACCCATGGGGACGCTCGTGGCCAAGCTGCTCCTGCCCAGCCTCAGCAGCCTGGCCCTCCTGCCCACCGTCAGCGTGGCTGCCAAGCGTCGCTTCCACATGGAGGCCATGGTCTACCTCTTTACCATGTTCTTCCTGGCCGTGAGTCCGGGCCCCGGGCAGAGTTGGGGGTGTCCCCTTCGCTGAGGAAGGAGCGGGCTCCTCTAGAAGTGGAAGGAGAAGCTCAGGGTGGGGTCTGGAGATGGGGAGAGAGGGGTCCCAGGGTCCTTCCCCTCTGGCCTCAGTTTCCCCATCCACCTTTCCTGTGAGACCCTGGAGGCCCGTTCTGCCCCTCCCCAGCCTCCTCCTGCCCCTCCTCTTCCGGCCGTGACCTCAGTGGGGCCGGGCAGGAGGAGCGGGGAGCGTAGGCCGTGCACGCAGGCCCTGCCTCTCCTCTGTGGCTTTCTCTTGCTATTTCTGTCTGACTGCCTGGAGCTCGGCTCTCTGTCTCCAGGTAACTGTCAGGGGTTGATCTTTGCTTCTTATAAAACGGAGCGCCTGGCACCCACCACCTTTCTGAGTGTTCCCATGTCTGGGCCTCTTACCCTGTGGGTCTCTTTCCTCCCCCACCCCGTCCTGTAGCCCCACAGAACCTCTTGGTCTTGCTGTGTCCAGTTTCATCCCCTGAGCCCGCTCCCTCCATGTCCCTCTGGTTCTATCTGCCTCTCCGTCACCGACTCCCAGCACCCACCACGCAGCCTCTGCCATCTCTACCCGCTGCCGTCTCTGTCCTAGTGTCCACATGTCCTCAGCCGCTGAGGCCCCAGTCATCCCAAGGTCCCCATGTGACAGGGCCCTGGGGAGCAGGCGGCAGGGGGACCTGGGAGGACCCTCCCACCCGCATGGCTGAGCAGTGCCTGCACGAGCACCCGGCGGCTCTGGCTGGCGAGGCCCAGTGAGCAGAGTCTGTGCGCTGTGCCCATGACCCCTGCGTCCCGGTGGCCAGGTCCAGCTCCCCCTGCAGTGCACAAATCCTCCCCGGGGGTGGCCTTGCTGTGTAACTGACCCGGGACGTGGCTGGCCCTGAGGAGCTGGGTGCCCTGGGCCTCTGCGTCTTCCTGGGAAGGGAGATGGCAGCCACCAGCCTGGCACCCCGTCCCCATGGGTGGTGAAAAGACTGCAGCCCAGGTGGCTGAGGCCGATATCATCACCAGCGCCACAGCGCTGAGCCCCCTGGAGAGACTCGGCCCAGGCTGGCACCAGTCAGTTTGCTGGGCAGAGGAAAAGCCACGCTCAGAGACCAGGCCAGGGGTGGAGCGAGGTCTCATCCCCTGGCCTAGGCCCCACCCAGCTCACCCCAGGGACCAGCTGGGCACCCTCCCCACTGGGCAGGCCCACAGCTGCCTCCAAGGCTGGCCTCAGAGGCCACAGCCCTGCAGCTCCACCCAGAATGACAGGGGCAGCTGCCTCCAGTGACAAATGTCCTGCCACAGAGCCACAGCCTGTGCCTCCCAGAGTTCTGCCTTGAGGTGGCTGCCTGGGAGACGCCACGCCAGGTGCTTGATCTCTAGGGTCCCGTGAAAGCCCCATAGGGTGTCTGTTCTCATCCCGCTGGTTCAGCCTCCTGACTCAGCCCCACAGCAGGGACCCACTAGGCCTAACCACAATCTGAGCTCCTATCCACCCCACAGAGCCTTAGCTGGGCCAGGCTGTCCCTGCATCAGCATGGGGATACTGGATTCTGGGGATCCCTGTCCCCGCTTACCCCTTTGGCTGGGTGGTGCTGTGCTGGTCTGGCTCCCAGATGTCTCCCAGCTGGCTCCAGAGGTGACTCCCGGGAGAGAACCCACATACACTGGAGCACCTGGATCAGGCCCCACCTGAAGTCCTCCTTCCCTAAGCTGACCAGTCCAGTCCTGTGTACTACATTACCCTCCTCCACCCCCTTCTTTGTCTGTATTACTCTTCAAAGGGTGCAGCACCCAAAGTTCAGTGCAGCTCTCTAGGAGGGTCAGCCCAGGGCAGAGAAGCAGGAGCCACCTGCCCCATCCCGGTTGCTTCTGAAGCCTAGGCCACCTGCATCTGCCATCAGCGGCTCCCAGCCTAGCCTGACTTGCTGGGCTGTCCAGCCCTCAGGGCTCCTGATCCCCCAAGCACCCCCTGCCCAGCTCACCAAGAGGCTTGTGTAGTTCCCTAGCTGAATTTGTCAAAACAATTATCTCATGGAATTAAATATTACCTCAAATGTTAAGGTGCATGTGAGGAAGGAGAGAGCTGTTTTCTGGAAGAAATCAGTTGCCTGGTTGGAAAACTCTCCTTAGAGACATTTTGCTTTAGTAATTGCCACTCAGTCAGGTGCGGGGAGACCAACAGGTATGGCTGCAGCGGTCTGGGAGTCCTCTGAAAACCTCATCTCGAACTCCTGAGAAGGGGCTCATACCTTCCTCAGCAAGGTCCCCAGTGTCCAGCGCCCCCTCCAGCCTGAGAGCGGTTTAGACCAGGGTTTCTGTGGGTCAAAGGTCTGGTGGCACCTCGAGAAGGCCTGGCCTGGCACCCAAAGACTGGCCCATAGCCAGGCACAGTGGTGCACGCCTGTGATCCCAGCACTATGGGAGGCTGAGGCAGGAAGAGTTACAAGTTCCAGCAATGTAGCGATTTAGTGAGACCCTGTCTCAGAATGAAATTAGAAAAGGGCTGAAGGGCTGGAAATGCAGCTCAGTATGAAGGTCCTGGGTTCAAATGACAGGGCTGCAAAGAAGGAAGGAAGAAAGGAAAAAAGAAAGAGAGAGAGAGCAAGAGAGAGAGAGAGAGAGAGAGAGAAGGGAGGGAGGAAGGAGAGAGGGGAGGGGAGGGGAGCGAGAGCGAGAGCAGGCCACAGAAGACAGCTATGGATCAGGTTTTGTCCCCACCTCAGGCTTTGGTGACCACCGCCTCGGCCCGGTCGGGTCCCTGCCAATGGGACACCAGCTGAGCCCTTAACACCCTGGTTCTGAGCTACGGCCTCTGCTCCCGCACACACATAGCACCCCGGGGTGTGCCCTGCGGCACTCTGATCACACGGGAGCTGAGGCCTCGGTTTCCCGCAGCTGCACCACGCCTGCGCCGGGCCCGGCTTGTCCACGCTCTGCTTCCTGCGCCAGGACATCCTCGAGTACTTCAGCATCTACGGCACGGCACTGAGCATGTGGGTGTCCCTCATGGGTGAGTGGCCGCACGCGGCCCTGGGCCAGCGCTCCGGGCTCCCTGTGGGCTTCTCACAGGCCCTGTGGGACCTGCTCACCCCAATTCTCTCCCACGGGGGTCTTTATGAAAACAGGATGCTCGCCCTAGGAAGCAGCATCCTGCCTTTCCTCTAACACAGACCGAGACACCCGGTGGAGGGGTGCCCACCTGTAATCCCAGTGCTCAGGGAGGCTGAGGCAGGAGGGTCACAAGTTCAAGTCCAACCCTGTCTCAAAATACAAAGCAGTGGGGATGTAGCCCAGGGTGAAGGCCCGGGTTCAACCCCAGTACTACAATCAATCGATCGATCAATCAGATCAAACGGGGTAGAATTCAGAGCACTCCAGACCTTATGGGGCCTCAGGATCACCCTGCATGAGCACCTAAGTCTGGGCACAGCCAGGAGAGCGAGGGGCACTCACCGCTGGGGTCTCTCCTGCCCCAGCGCTGGCCGACTTCGACGAGCCCCAGAGGTCCACCCTGGTGATGCTGGGCGTGCTGACCATCGCAGTGCGGACCTACCACGACCGCCAGGGCTACGGCGTGTACTCCGGCCCCATCGGCACCGCCGCGCTCATCATTGCAGCCAAGTGGGTGCGTGAGGACCTCCTCGTGCCCCAGGGCCTCCTCTCCCAGCCTCATGGGAGCCAGGCAGAACCAGCAGCTATAATAACCGGTGACCCAGGCCCACGCTGTCCAGTCCCCACCTTCCTGGAGACAGTGAGACCAGGGCCAGCTCCATCTCGGGAGGCGGGCGTGGGGTGTGGTGGCCACCTCCTGGGTCGGTTTCGGCCCTGAGAACCCCCGGGGGCAGCACCCACAGCCCTGCCTGTCACCCTCGGCCACTTCCTGTTGCAAGGCTGGGACACCCCCAGGTGGTCAGTGAAGGTGGGACAGTGTGGCAGCCTCTGGACCCCCTCCAGAGAGCAGATAAAGGCTCAGGACCAGGAGCTAGCTGGCTCCAGACCAGGGCCTCCACGCAGGGCAGGCTGCGGGGACCCCGGAGAGCAAGGGCTGGAGGGGCACCGGGGGTGGAGGTGCCTGCTCCGTCAGAGACGCGCCAGCTCCTCTCCAAGTCATTGGTCACGGGATTTATTTTGTCATTCCGTTAAAGGAGAAACTAAGGTACCGGGCAGCCAGGGACCAAATGCCAAGCCCCAGCAGGGCAGCTATGGACAGACTTGACTCTCGGCAAGAGCCGGGAGCCATTTGCTCTCCCTGCTGCAGCGCGAGAGCAGAGCGCCCCAGGCTGACCCTGAGCCAGGCTGCCTGGGGGTGGCGTGCGGTCCCCACTAATGAACGCTCTGGAATTCATAAACACAGACACCCCTCTGATAAGACCCGTCCGGCCCACCTGAGGGTCGCTCCTTACAGCCCTTGGCTGGCTCTGAACCTCTGAACCCGACAGGGTTCTAATTAGCCAGGACAGAATTCACTCCCAGGCCCTACTGGGTGCCAGGGGGCTCCCAAGGCCCTAGGCCAGTGCCTTCCCCAGGATCAGATGTTGGTGGCTGTGTTCTCCACACCTGGGCTCAGGCTGTGCTTGGGGGACCAAGGAGTGCACGTTTGTCTTGGATTTCTGAGGGTGGTTGCTTCTGGGATGGAGATGGGTTTTTCTCCCAAGAGCTCTGGGAACACGAGCATCGTTGAGGAGCAGAAACAGAGTGAGCTGAAGCTGGGCCTGATGATACTTTCCTGTAATCCAGCACTCTGGAGGCTGAAGCAGGAGGATCGCCACAAGTTTGAGGCCAGCCTGGGCTATATAGTAAAATCTGTCTCAAAAAAAGAAAAAGAAAAGGAAAGAAATAGAGCTAGGGGACAGGGAAATCCAGGGCCAGGCCACGCCCACTCCACCGTCCTGGGCCAGTCCCCCATGACGCCTGTTGGTGACAGTGCGTTCCGGGGCCCTGGAAACTGGGCACTGTGTCAGGACTCTGGGCAGCAGAACCTGCCAGGTCAAACGCTGTCCTGTGCACCCCTCCCAGGATGGTCCCCATACCCTGCACTTACACTCCACACTAGGTGTGCGGCAGCCAGGTTCTGGAACAGCTCCGGGGCTGGGTTACCCTGTCGTCCCTGTGGTCCCCGTCCTTCCAAGCTCCACCCCCACCACAGCCTGGCCTGGGCATCACCACCCACAGTGCCAGGGCCCCTGGCGTGGAGCACACCTCATGTTCAGCTGGTAATGTGGTCACTAGAGTCCCATGGTCACCACCTCTGCCTGGGGCTGGCAGGTCCCAGTGCTGAGTCTGCTCGGGGTCCCCTGCAGAGGAGTGGGGCCCTGGGCACAACAGCCCAGAGGTCTCCAGCCCTGCCACTGCTCCTGTCCTGCCCAGGGCCTCCACTGGCCACACTGCCCAGGCATGTGACAGGGGTGGCCAGGTGAGGGGTGGCTGTGTGAGCCGCCCAGAGCCAGATGGTTCAGGAGGGCAGTGTCCCTGCAAGCCTGAAAGCGTGGCCATCACCATATGCCCACAGCTGCGGAAGATGAAGGAGAAGAGGGGTCTGTACCCCGAAAGGAGCGTCTACACCCAGCAGGTCGGTCCCGGCCTCTGCTTCGGGGCGCTGGCCCTCATGCTACGCTTTTTCTTCCAGGTACGCTGGAATGGGGGGGCCATCTCCCGCTCACTGCAGCCCCCTCTCCCTGCATGCCATCTGCCCCGAGCACTGCCTGTCCCCAGCACCACCGGCAGCACGCACTGCGTGGGCCTGGGGACGCCAAGGGTGGGGGTGGGGGGTCTCAGTGCAGGCCTTCAGTGAGCGGTGTCTGGTGGCAGGAAGGCCACCGCAGCTGGGGAAACACAGGCTAAGGGGACTCAGCTTGGCTGCCCCGGAGGAGTGAGCAGACCTGTGCCCTGTCCCGTGCAGGAGTGGGACTACACCTACGTCCACAGCTTCTACCACTGCGCCCTGGCCATGGCCTTCGTCCTGCTGCTGCCCAAGGTCAACAAGAAGGCCAGTGACGCGGGGGCCCCGGCCAAGCTGGACTTCTCCACCCTGTGCTGCGCCTGTGTCTGAGCGCCCACCCCAGCCCTGCTCCTCCCCACCCACTCATCCGTGTCCTTCCCACCCAGCGTGCCTCCGAACAGTGGGCTCTTTCACACCCCGAGGGCTCCAGGGACAGCCTCGGTGTCCGCCGGCTCCACTACGTGCAGCGCTCTACTACTTCCTGCTTTGCAACCGAGAGACACCAGAGTGCGTCTGCCCTCCCAGCCCAGGCCCAGCCCAGGGCTCACGCCAGGGGCTCTTAACCATCCCCAGGATGCGTGCCCACCAGGCTCAGCTGTTTTCTCATGAAATCTGTTGTCACCGCTTCTGTCCCCTTCCCCAGGCTGTGTACATTCTCAAGAGGGCCAGCTCTCTCCCCAGCCCAGGCTTGCCCTGAACCCTGTGCCCCCAGCTGGCTTCAGTAAGAACCAGGAGCAGCAGCCCATCACCTTGTGCCTGTGCACACTGTTCAAGTCCGCAGGAGAGCAGAGCACCCGTGCCCAGGTGGACAGGTGGGCCCTGGCTCCCTCCACCCCGCCCCAGGACCCTGCATCCGCCCGGCATGGCCATGGCTGGGGCAGTGCCTGGGAGCCGAAGCTCTGCATAGGCCTGTAGGCATGGCTCAGCCGTGAGTGGGGGAGCCCCCATCTGTGACAACTGGGGCTGGGGTGGTGGTGGCCTCGGTTCCCAGACATCACCTCAGAGCCCCGCCCACCCACTTCCTGGTGACTGTTCACCAGTTGGCAGGAAGTCACCTACACCTGTCTGGGGCCTGTTTGTGTTTCCAGATGGCCACCGCAGGAGCCAGTGGGGTGGCTGCTGATCTGTCCTAAAGTCACCTCCTGCGGTCCCCAGGGGGATGGGCGGGGTGGCTGCAGCATCTGGGCATCTGTGTCCTTTCCCGACCCCACCCATGCCAGAGGCTCCTCCACCCACTTCCTGGTGACTGTTCACCAGTTGGCAGGAAGTCACCTACACCTGTCTGGGGCCTGTTTGTGTTTCCAGATGGCCACCGCAGGAGCCAGTGGGGTGGCTGCTGATCTGTCCTAAAGTCACCTCCTGCGGTCCCCAGGGGGATGGGCGGGGTGGCTGCAGCATCTGGGCATCTGTGTCCTTTCCCGACCCCACCCATGCCTCAGAGGCTCCATTGCTACCTCCCTGACCACCCAGAGACCTGCCCTTCCCAGCCGGCCCTGTCCTGGCCCCGGTGGAAGGCACAGGGCTCTGCCAGCCTCGGCCCTCTGGCCCCACCGGAGCCCCAAGGCACTGGCTGGTGCCCAAGGGTACGGTTCTCCCATTCTCGGCCCTCGCCTGCCCTGGGGGCCAGGACAGACACAGGCCCTACTGACTGCTGTGCCTCCCTTGGCTGCCACGCCTGCACCACGCACACACATGTGCAGAGACACGTACACGTGCACCCCACACAGAGACAGGACTCCTGGACCCCAGCCCACATTCCCATGGGCAGGCGGCTCAGTCGTCACCAGGCAGAGCCAGGCCTGGGCCCCCAGAAGCAGGAGTCTGAAGGACAACCCTGCTCCCTGCACCCCACTGACCCTGCCAGCTGCCCATGCCATGGAGATCGGAGGCTTGGGGTGCTCCCAGGTAGGGAGGAGCAGGCGCCGCCTGGCCTCAGAGCCACATTGCGGCCTCCACAGCAGCGGCCTGATTTATGGAGCTGCCTGGGAGCCCTGCCAAGTCTGTAAGTCACGGACAATTAAGAGAAGCACTCCAGCACTCAGCTCCGTCCACCACAGCCCCCTCCCGTCCCAGGCTAGGGCTGTCCCCCAAGTCGGGGTGAGGCCCTGAGCAGGTGACAGTGCCTGTGATCTTGCCATTTTCCAGCCATATCCTGGCCTCAGACATCTCCCTGAGGGCCAGGAGGGGCCAGTTTGGGGGGAAAGGGCAGGAAGGGAGGGATCCCCCAGCCCCACAACACCCACAATGGCCAGGCTTCATGACTGGCAAGAGAGGACCCCAGACTCATGCCCCTGAGCCCCAGTGCTGTTGAACCCTGGGTCCCCACGTCCTGGAAGGGCACGGTCACCCGTGCTGGCTTCAAACTGGGCAGAGCTCCCTCTCCCACCTGGCCCAAAAGGGTCCAGAAATTTTTGGTGCTTGTGGGCCCCAGAAGTCCCAGCATGGTGCTGTGGGACAGAGCTTGCTTGATGGTGAAAACCCGCAGGCCGCCTGGGCTGACCAGTTCTGTGAGGAGTGGCTAGTGCCAGAGAGCAGCCGAGGCTTCAGGGGGTCTGATCTTAATTGTGTTTAAACGCCATATGCACAGGCAGGGCTGAGATAAAGCCAGGTGGCACCTGAGTTTCAGATGCACCATCCACGTCTCCCGCAATATTCGGGACATATTTGTGGGAGACAAACTTGCACTGAAAAATGACCCACTTGTATGTCTGACATTTGAGTGTGACCAGGGCTCAGCAGCCCTGCCCAAATGCTCTGACTGTGGTACTGGACTCTGGGCAGCACGTTTGAGACACGGAGGGAAGGGAGGTGCCCTGCAGAGACGGTTTTGGGGACTGGATAAACCAAGGGACAGGAGCAATGGCCTTGCTGTAGGGACACTGGTGGCTGGAGGTTCTGCTTTCCTCCCAGCGGAGCCCCTTCTAAATGGGGGGGCACAGACTCCCCACTGCCTTCCTGGGCCTGGTGTGGTTTCCGAGGCCCTTGTCCCTCCTAGCCCAGGGCCCAGGGCCACCTACCATGTCACGTGTGCCCTTGCCCGGCCCACACTGCACCCCTCCAGGCACACACCCTGGGCCCAGCTCAGGGGAGGCACACACTCGAAGAAGTATTATAAACATTTACAATAACGTAGACAAAACAGTCTATTGTAGTGCCCTCCCCACTCCCCAGCTGGCAAGACGCTGGCAGGGCACCGAGGCTGGCTGGGCCCTGGCCAGAACGGGTGCAGAGGGGTTCTTGTCTAAGGCAGTCTGAGCACTGAGCCTCTGAGGGGTGGGCTCTTGAAATTTCCCGTCTCTGTTACTCTCCTCTGCAGGAAGACATCTGAAACCCAAAACTTTTATTGCTCCTTCTAAAAAGCCTTGAAAAGGCTCCCCGCTGACTTCCTAGAGGCCCATCCTGCCCTGTCCTGCTCTGCGGAGCTGGGATTGTAGTTAGGGCAGTGCACTGGGCGCCACAGAAGGAATGCTGCTCGGTCTCGCTGGCTGGTGGCTGGCCGGCTGCAGGGCCTTGGCCAGGGAGGACCTGGGGAAGGGGAGGGGCTGCGGGAGGGTGGCAGCTGCAGGAGGGCAGATGTGGGTGTCTGTGTCTGCCAGTGCCCTGGTAGCAGCAGCAGAGGGCCTGTGCCCCCAGAGAGCTGCCGCCTTCCCACCCAGCGGGCTGGATCGCTGGACCCCCTCCACCACCTGTAGGCCTCTTCCTCCCCTTCCAAAGGAACAGCAGCCTCACCCCATGGTGGACCTCAGGGTCCATCAGGTGAGTAGAAGTGTCAGGAAATTAAAATTGCAGATAAAAGACAAGGAAGGCTAGATGGGGTTCAGTGGGCCAGGGCAGAGGCTTGGAACTGCGAAGCCTGGGTTCCCCTCTCCCACCCAGCAAGACCCCTCCTGCGTCCTCTCGCCTGTTTCCCTGTGTGTAACGTGCTCACCTTGTGTGACTCTTGTCAAGACTAAATGAGACAGTTTTGTACCTCGGCACTGTATTTTCTCAGTGATATTTTAAATGGCAATCACCTCTGCTTTCATGATCTTTGGTCAAGGGTGAGGAAAGGGAGATCTGGGATTTTAGGCACTCCTTGCCGTAGCGGATGCCCCACCAATGCCTGCACTGCCAAGGAGACAGCGCCCAAGCGCTTCATACCTGGCACCCAAGAGTGGCACTGGAGGGCCGCGGAGGGGAGCCAGGCAGGCATCCAAGAGGAGGCAGGTTTGAGACTGAAACAAGCCCCACAAAATGGACCAGACCTGGCATCCTGGCACCTGTGGCTGGGCCCAGGACGGTGCCACAGTTCCCTGCACACTGAGCTGCCCTGACTCCCCGCGCATTTTCTGGGGCAGCAAGAAAACCACCAGGTCCCCACTGGAGAATGGGCAGCTGCCACCTGGCCTCTGTCACTGGCATTGGTCTCCACTTGGCCTGGCTCCTGCCCATCAGGGACCCGTGGTCACCTGAGGCCAAGGGTACAGCGGGAAGGTGGCCTCCTGCCCTCTTGAGGAGCTGTGAACAGAGCAGCTGGCAAGCTGTACCACGTGAGCTTGCAAGAGGAAGGACTGACTGGCACGTCCCCTTCTCTCCTGGTGTGGCGTCCCCAAGCTGACCTGAAAGTCAGGAGGCACTGGCCTAGACCTGGATTAAACAGCAGTCTCCAGGGGTCAGCCATGTTCCCAGCCAGCCTGGCGACAAGGAGGGAGAGAAAGTAACGCCAGGGGGCGCTGTTTGAGGGTTCCAGGCAGGAGGAGACAGCAGTCCAGGGAAAGACCAAGCAGGGTACTCCCCCATCGCAGGCCAGGTTCAAGGGTCTGAGGGCATTTAGTGGGGTTTCACCACCAGGAAGAGGGGGAACAAGTAGGCTGGAGAGCCCAGAAAGGAAGCTTCGAGGGCAGAGGAAGGAGCCAGAAGCCAAGGCCTGAGACAGGGCTGTGGGGGGCCCCATCGCATCCTGGCTGCCCCCCATTCTTGCCACCTTGCTCTGCCCAGTGATGGTCCCAAGAGGTGTGGGTGGGCCTGGGCCCTCAGCCTGGGGACCCTGCCCAGCAGGGAGGGGTGCTGGGCAAGTGGTCACTAAAGCTCTTGGGTGGCCAACTGGTTTGGTAAAGCATGCAGAGTCACAGCCACCCTGCTTCCTAGTCACACACTCCCACGGGTCCAGCAAGCCAGGGGACCTGGGCAACCCTGCAGTCAGACCACTCAGCCGGAGGCGGCAGGCACAGAGGGGTGGGGTGGGGTGGGTGGGTTCGTCCACCCTGGTCTCCTGGACAAGTCCAAACCCAACAAAGAGGAGCTGATGACCACAGAGGCTCCCCTGGCCCCTGGTGACCCATGCCATGAGTGGGGCGTGTCCACCCAGGGCCGTCCAGTGCTCCTGGGCCACACCACAGGACCATGTAGGGAAAGAGTCCACACCCCGCACTGCGGGGACCTCTGCCGACCGCAGCTCCCTGAGGGCTGGGCCAGTGGGACCAGCAGGGGATGTGGCCCTGTGTTCAGGCAGGCCAGTGCCACATGGTCCAGTGGCATCTCGCAGAGGACCAGGGGCCAGAAACCCCCCTACCCACTGCCACACACACTGTGGGGGACGGAGGGACAGGGGCTCGGCAGCCAGTGGGGAGGCCTTCGGCAGGGAGTCGCCAGCAGACAGCCTTGGGCACCCCAAGTTCAGGGCCAGGTGGGATCTGCAGAGGAAGAGGAGAGGCCAGCACAGCTGGGGCCTGCCCAGGACTCCTGCCCAACCTCCCTCCCCTTCTCCCTCTTCCTTCCCCTCCCCTCCTCCAGGGAGTTGGCCTCTGCTGGCTTTTGTTTTCCTGACAGCCTGGCTGTCAGGAGCTGCTGGCCTGGAGTCCCAGCCGGAGCCATGCTACTGGGTGGCTGCAGCCACATCTGGAAGCCGTTTGGGCAGCACCCCCACCACCACCGCCACAGCAGGCGCTCAGTGCACAGCTGAGAAGTTCCACTGCCAGCTGGAGCTCTGGGAGCTGTGGCCTCAGACCAGCAGCCCCACTCTGTCCGTGGCTGGCAGCAGAGGAGGCAGAGGGGACCGCATCCTCTGGGCTCCAGCAGCCACTGGCTCCAGAAACTGCACAATGGCAGAACCTTGGCAGGCAGCCTCAGAGGCCCCAGGGCGAGCTCACTGTGCCCATGAGCACCTGCTCCTCCTCACCGGACCCCAAACTAATGTCACCTGTGATGGACACAGCCCACAG